AAAAAAAGTAAGTTTATTCAGTCCGCGTTACATGAATCGAATGACACAATGAAACCAAAAAATGATTTGAAATGGCTCTACCGAATAAAAAATGCTTGTGAATAGAACGCAGTATCTGTAAATTTATGGATACACTAGTACGCGTTATTCGTAATTAGTGTGACATACCCATCAATAGTACGTTGTTAGTGTGCGCAATAAGAAGGATATGTGTGTTTAATTTATCTTAAATCATACCCCTAGAAAATATATTATTATATTGTAAGTATTGAGTAAGAATTTGAAATGTTATCATAACTTGTAATATAATGTTTCACAGTTATCGAAATGTTTTGCATAGATGAATTCCTCTTGCACATGCAAAGAATTGTATGATGATTTCATACATGAAACATATATTGCAGTGTTTAATTGAATGACATGAATCTCTTGTTTTGTCCATATCATCAAATTATTCTTGAACATGTATTTAATCTTTTTGTATACTCGGTATACAAATATGTCCTTCTTAGGCATTAGTCGAATTAATATGATTGAGATCTATACCAGTTTGATTTGTATAACCATATTTGCGGTTGTCATAGAGACATTACTTTAATTCGTTATTTTGTACCTGTGTATTACTCTCGAATCATTCATTTAAAAACAGCGTTATTATTCAATGAGTGAGAACAATCAATATAATATTTTAACTAGTGCAACAAGAGAAAGAAAACACTTTCTCGAATGTGTCGTTAACCTAAGGTCCCGCTCAACAATGTTAAGAGATTTTAAAAGTTTTGAAGCGTTTTTGCAGTTTTTATTTATTTTATTTTTCAGAGTTGTCTTCAGGTAAAACTTTAACAGTTGTAATTCATTCAAAAATCATTGTTACTCTTTGAATGTTATTGTTCTATAAGTTCTGTAAGTGTTCTACCATCTTCAGGTATTGGAAGGATATACAGATAAAGAACTCCTAATGCTACGCGAAATCTCTGCATCCTTCATATCCAATTAATGGTTGTCTCTAAGCCACCTATTACACAAATGGTGTACATGTACTTACAAAATTAAGTGGTTTAGAAAAGGCATTTCAACCAACAAGTNTGCGAAATCTCAGCATCCTTCATACCTAAATAATGGTTGTCTCTAAGCCACCTATTACACCAAATGGTGCACATGTACTTACAAAATAATGTGGTTTAGAAAAGGCAGTTCAACCAACAAATTTTTTGCATGAGTGCATATGAAGAGCTGAGAGAACAAAGATTTTAAACGTCTTTTAACGTATTTTTTGCTTCAAAAATATATTTCTTATTTGTGCTTTGTTATAAACAAAATATTATATATATATTTTTACTTTGTATTTATATTTTATCTCATTTTGAACATGATTCAGATAATTTTATGAATCAAATGACTTGAC